AAATTTATACCGCAAAATTATATACGATCAAACTATACGTTTATACCTCGTCTTTTGAATGCGTTCGAATATAAATTTCTCTTCGATGCTGGAATAACATTTTTGTATATTAAATCAGGGTGTCCACTCCATGGAAGAAACATGGAAAATCTCGAATTCTCGGGAATTTTTTTTTGCACCTGGAGAAATCAGGGAATTCTCATGAATTTTGTTGGGACTCAGGGAATTATAAAAAAAATACTCTGATAATTTTTCTATATTATAAGCAGTCGACAAGTCTAAGTGAATTATGTATTTAAAATATATTATAAATATATATTTGTTTATTTTTATATTCAATGTCTTAACAAAATATTGAATACGCAGTACATACTCTTTATTGTAATTTTTAGTGATAAAAAAATGAAAATTTTATATTCAAGTGAAAAATGCTTATCTTACGAAAGTTATTCAATTTTTTTCAGTACATTTACAAATATAGCACTTGAAACTTGTATGAATGGAAAACATTATAAAACGCATGCAATAAAAAAACTTATATTAGAAAACTGTACCAAAATATCTTCAAAACATTTTCTTTACCTGGAATTTTGAACAAAAATATCTGGAAGATCAGGGAATTTTTAGAAAATGTTTTTACAAGATTTGAATAGACACCCTGAAAATAAATGTCAAGAATAGACATCTCGAAAAAATGCACTTTTTTTTATAGAAAGTATCTTGTTTTCTCAAATATGTAGGAAACACAGATGCTATTTATGCTTTCTTTCATTGAGTTGCGAAAAATTTATATTGTGTGAATTTTTATTAGAGTGTTTACATAATTGAAAATTTCATGTAATTATTTTTCCACCTATATTCTTTACACACACTCACACATGTAACATCTAACGCAGTTTAAATTAAAAATGTTAGATTAACAAACGTTGCACACAATTTCAAACTATAAATTAAATATAAGCAGCGAGAGTACAACGGGCAATAGTAGAATCAACTGTACGAGTAATGTTTTATTTTTATGTCACTGTACGTATAGTATACACGATTGGGTTTTTTCGTTTACAAACTTCGTGGCCTGTGTGTTTAACGCGTCGATGCAGTTTTAATCCGGCGGGAAGCTGGCCCGTTTTTTTACGCATCCGCTTCATTGGCAGTATCGAAATCCATCCGCCGCACGTGCGGGATTAATTGGCCATTTCCGATATGTATATACATTTCCATTTCGGCAGCGATGGGGTTTCATCGATCGTCGAGCGCGTAGTGTAAAATAAACGCTTGTCAATCAAGGGCCATGGAGAGCGAGAAAGAGAAAGAGAGAGAGAGGGGGGGGGGGGGGGGGGGGAGAGAGAAGCTATTCCAGCCTGTCTTTTCCTAATGTTATGTTAGAGACAAAAAATAAACAATATATAGCTAATCAAAAATTAGATTAAAAAGGTGGTATTTGG